ACACAAAAATAAACTCAAAATGGATTAAAGATCTAAATGTAAGACCAGAAACTATAAAACTCCTAGAGGAGAACATAGGCAAAACACTCTCTGACATAAATCACAGCAGGGTCCTCTATGACCTACCTCCCAGAATATTGGAAATAAAAGTAAGAATAAACAAATGGGACCTAATTAAAATTAAAAGCTTCTGCACAACAAAGGAAACTATAAGCAAAGTGAAAAGACAGCCTTCAGAATGGGATAAAATAATAGCAAATGAAGCAACGGACAAAGAATTAATCTCAAAAATATACACACAACTCCTGCAGCTCAATTCCAGAAAAATAAAAGACCCAATCAAAAAACGGGCCAAAGAACTAAACAGATATTTCTCCAAAGAAAACATACAGATGACTAACAAACACGTGAAAAGATGCTCAACATCACTTATTAACAGAGAAATGCAAATCAAAACCACAGTGAGGTACCATTACACGCCACTCAGAATGACTGCTATCCAAAAGTCTACAAGCAATAAATGCTGGAGAGGGTGTGGAGAAAAGGGAACCCTCTTAAACTGTGGTGGGAATGCAAACTAATACAGCCACTATGGAAGACTGTGTAGAGATTCCTTAAAAACCTGGAAATAGAAATGCCATATGACCCAGCAATCCCACTGCTGGGCATACACACTGAGGAAACCAGAATTGAAAGAGACATATGTACCCCAATGTTCATCACAGCACTGTTTATAATAGCCATGGGAGCAACCTAGATGCCCATCAGCAGACAAATGGATAAGAAAGCTGTGGTACATATACACAATGGAATATTACTCAGCCATTAAAAAGAATACATTTGAATCAGTACTAATGAGGTGGGTGATACTGGAGCCTATTATACTGTGTGAAGTAACCCAGAAAGAAAAACACCAATACAGTATACTAATGCATATATATGGAATTTAGAAACATGGTAACAATAACCTTGTATGTGAGACAGCAAGAGAGACACAGATGTATTGGACAGTCTTTTGGACTCTGTGGGAGAGGGCGAGGGCGGGATGATATGGGAGTATGGCACTGAAACATGTAAATTATCATATGTGAAATGAATCGCCATTCCAGGTTCGATGCATGATTCAGGATGCTTGGGGCTGGTGCACTGGGATGACCCAGAAGGATGGGATGGGGAGGGAGTTGGTAGGGGGGTTCAGGATGGGGAACACATGTACACCCATGGCGGATTCAAGTCAATGTATGGCAAAACCAATACAATGTTGTAAAGTAAAATAAATAAATAATTTAAATTAAAAAAAAGAAACAACACAAAATAGAAAACTACAAAGTATTGCCAAAAGGAATCTGACAGAAGTAAATAGAAAGGCATCTCACATTTATGGATTTGGAGACTTAATATTATTTAGCTGCTCATACTACCCAAAGAAATTTAAAGATTCAATGCAATTCCTATTAAAATCCCAATGGAACTTTTTTTTAGATATAGAAAGTCCATTCTACAGTTAATACAGAATCTCAGAGGACCCCAAATAGGCAAAACAATCTTAGAAAGAACAGAAAAGCTGGAGACCTTTGCTTTCAGAACATATTACAAAGGTACAGTAACCCAAAAGTGTACTTTTGGCATAAAGTGCATGCTTAGTTGCTCAGTCGTGTTGACTCTGTGACCTTTTTGACTGGAGCCCACCAGGCTCCTCTGTCTAGGGGATTTCTCAGGCAAGAATACTGCAGGAGGTTGCCATTTCCTTCTCCAGGGGATCTTCTTAACCTCATGGATTGAACCCGGATCTCCTGTGTCTCCTGCACTGAAGGTACAGTCTTCACCTGCTGAGCCACTGAGGAAGCCCACTAGCATAAAGACAGATGTACCAATCAATGGAACACAATAGACAGCCAGAAATAAACTACTGGATACACGGTCTAACGATCTTTATTGAGGTTGTCAAGACGACAGGGAAAGCTTAATCCCTGTAATGAATGGCACTGGGGAAACAAAAATATCTATATGACAAACAATTAGGATCTTACATCATGAAGAAAAATCAACTCAGAATGGATTAAAGACCTAAATGTAAGACTTGATAAGACTCTTAGAAGAAAATAAGTGTGAAGCTTCATAACATTGAATCAGCAATGATTTCTTAGATATGATACCAAGTGCACAAGTATTAGTAACAAGGTAAAAATATACAAATGAGATTACGTTAATCTTAAAACCTCTGTGCAGCAAAGGACACAAAGTGAAATGGACAAATAGAGTGAAACAAAGGAACAGAGTGAAAGACAACCTACAGGATGGTAGAAAATATTTGTAAAATATGTATATGATAAGGGGTTAATAAGCATACACCAATATGAAGGCTACCTGTAAGCCAGGAGTAGAACCTGATTGACCACGATGGCACCCTGATATCAAACTTACATGCTCCAGCACTGGAAGAAAACAAATTTCTGTGGTTTAAGCCATGCAGCCTGTTTCATTATGGCAGCCTGAGATGACAAACATGGTGGAAGAAGGACTTGAATAGACATTTCTCCAAAGAACATCCACAAATGGCCAATAAACATATGAAAAGATGCTCAATATTACTAATCAATAGGGAAATACAAATTAAAACCACAATGGAAATTATCTCATACCTTCTGTAATAGCCAATATAAATAAAAAGACAATAGCAAGTTTGCTAAGTATATGAAGAAATTGGAACCCTTATACACTATTGTTGGAAATGTAAAATTTTGCAACCTTTACAGAAAACAGTATGGAGTTTCCTCAGAAAATTAGAACTGCTGTATGATCTAGCAATCCAACTACAGAGTATATTTCCATAAAAAATTGAAAGCAAGATCTTGAATAAATTGTGTGCACATCTATGGTCCTTGAAGCATTATTCCCAGTTGGCAAGATGTGGAAGCAATCTAAATGTTCATTGGTGGATAAACAGATAAAGATTATATATATCATATATATTATATACACATGCACACAATGGAAAGTTTTGAAGCCTTAAAAAAAGTATTTTGTCATATGCAACCTCAGGGATGAGCCTTGATGATATTATGCTAAGTGAAATGAACCAATCAAAAAAAAAGACAAATATTGCATGATTCCACTTCTGTGAGGTACCTAAATTAATCAAATCCATGGAAACAGAAAATATAATTGTGGTTGCCAAGGACTATGAGGAGGAAGAATTGGAGAATTGTTGCTCAGTGTGTGTAAGGCTTCAGTCATGTAAGATGAAAAAGTTCTACAGATTTGATGTAGACCAAGGTGTACATAGTTAGCAATAGTGTACCATACACTCAGAAATTAAGAAGGTAAATAAAGATGTGTAGATATATGGTGGGAGAAGGCAATGTCACCCCACTCCAGTACTCTTGTCTGAAAAATCTCATGGATGGAGGAGCATGATAGGCTACAGTCTATATGGTCTCTAAGATTCAGACATTACTGAGCAAATTCACTTTCACTTTTCACTTTCATGCATTTGAGAAGGAAATGGCAACCCACTCCAGTGTTCTTGCCTGGAGAATCCCAGGGATGGGGGAGCCTGGTGGGCTTCTGTCTATGGGGCCGCACATAGTAGGACATGACTGAAGCGACTTAGCAGCAGCAGAGGTATGGTGAACCATGGGATATGTATTCCCTATGAAGAATCTCTCTTCATGTCAAAACCTTTGGTTTTCATGTCTCTTACACTACTTTTCATAACCCAAGGGAACAGATGGACTTCCCTGGTGGCACAGTGGATGAGAATCTGCCTGCTAATGCAGAGGACACAGGTTCAGTCACTGGTCCAGAAAGATTCCACTTTCTGTGGTGCAACTAAGCCTGTGTGTCACAAACTACTGATTCTGCATGTGCTCTGAAATGAGAAGCCAGTCACTGCAACCAGAGAAAGCCCCTGCACAGCAGTGAAGACCCAGTGCATCCAAAATTAAACAAATAAATTTTAAAAATCTGGGAGCAGAAATCCATCGATGGAGAATCCTAGAACTATCTAAATTGTTTTCTTCAGTCTAAACAGAATATCTCTTCTAAGCTCTCTGAGCAGCAGAAGAGGAAGTGAGCTGCTCACTTCTATATTACAATGAGTGTACTTCATTTTCATTTACCTGAGGCTGTCTGATCAGTGAAATGTGGGAAAGATCAGGGAGAATAAATAGTTCTCTCAAACCCTTTCCCAGAATCAAAACAAATAATAGTTTCACCTTAGGGTAAGAAGGTCATGTGGTGTTATTTTTTATACACACATAAATAATGTATCTTGACATAATATATTAATGATTTCCTCTTCTAAGAGATTTACTCCAATAACTGAATTATTATGAGATTAGTATTAGAAATCTCTTTGGTGAATTTATAGCCTAAGGTATCTTTAATTGCCTTTCATTAAGAATGTTTAGCAAAAATAATTCTTTTTAAAAAGAATCATAAATTTTAAACAAAAAACTTCTGAGAATTACACTGGAAAGCCTATACATTCATCTTCATTCAGGCTTATGTCAATATTCAGCCACAACCACTTCAGAATGCTGAAAATTATTTCTTTGCTAATGGCTGAGATGCAGTTAATACCTTAGCCCAGGCTGGTTTCAGGAAGACACAACTACATCCTCCTGGCCCCTCACCTTGCTGCCTTGGTGTCCATTCTTCATCAGAATTGTCAGTGTCATCTACCTGCCTGCGGTGATGCATGAAAGCTGGTCGAGTGGCTCTGAAACCTGGAAAGACGCAAAATATATTTTCTAAGAAGGAGAAACAAAGCATAGAAACAATGGGAATTGTCACAAGGTCAGGGAAATCAGTAGGATGAGCTGGGAGAATGTAGGACAAGGCAAGAGGTTTGCTCTGCACTGCAGGGTCAACCTCCCTTTGGTACAGAACTATAAACATTTCCTCCAGGTTAGTCTCCACACAAAAGGGAACTGTGAGCAGCTGAAGCCATCTAAGAGAGGGCCAAGTAAACACTGAGGCTGAAGACCTGTTTCGTGTTTCCCAGGCTCACAGGCACCCAGCACTTCCTGTTACCTATAGCAATCAGCGCTTCGTAGTTCCTTTTCACATCCCTATATCAGATTTTTTTCCCCATTCTGCCATCTCTGCCCATTCTTCCTTGGAGAAGTATATGTAAATGTCTGAACGCATCTTTGGCTTAAAGAAAATAATAGATTTCACCAGGGACTTACTAATATAAGTCAGATCTTAGAGCTGACTTCTCCTCCAACTTTTGTGCAAGGGGTAGCTTGAAGCTACTGGATGTTCTCTGTGAGACAGGGATAAAGAATTTCCTTCCCGCCTGTGTCCTACTTAACTGAACAAACACTAAGTATTTTTCCTAATTCTTGCTGGACACAGAGCAGTTGATGATGCTAGTGTCCTGTTTAGTCCCTCTCCACACCACCATCTCAGACAGGACCAGGCATTTCCATCCTGTGTCTGTTCACAGAAAATTTCACTCAGCTGCCCAGGCAAGCAGTCTGTTGTCCTTTAGGGACTAGTGCCATGTCCTTCCTCATAGAGCTGGATTAGAGCCCAGATTTGCCACCTCTGCCTTTCACCGTGGGCTTCCACTCTGTTCTCCCAGCATCTCCCTCAGTGCTCTCCTCTGGAGACCTGTTTTGGCTCATGGCCATTGGGAATGCCTCAATGCCAAGGTGCCTGTGGAAGGAGAAGATGCTGGGATAGTCCAGACCACTATCCAAAGCCTGGTCTTTCTTCCTTGGGTGGAGTGTCCAGGGCAGGAAGGTGTGGGAAAAGTTGGAATGAATTGGGGTGGACAGATCCTGACCAGCTATGACAGGCCACCCTAATGTGAACTAGATTTGGTTTTTTGGTTGCCCTACAATTCAGCGCCTCTGAGGAAAGGCACTTGGAGGGATGTGTCTGTGGGTGAGAGAGGGAGTCTTGAGGAGACCAGGAAGCCCCTAACTGTTGGCCTAGGGTCAAGTTGAAATCAGGGCTCTGTTCCAGTGCAGGAGAGGGAATATTTCTCCAAGAAGTGTTTTGAGGATTTGCACCTGGGGATTCAGAAAAATCTGGGCCAACATGGGTTCTACGTTTAAGGGACAATTCGTTCAGCTCGAGGAAATCTGGGACACAGGGGCTGAAGGAACTGGGATCCTCAGACAGAGGGGACTGGGGATCTTTCAGCTGATGTAGAATGTGCAGGGTAAGAGAACTTGGGATCTTTGTGGCTGAGGAAATCGGAGGTTTCTTATTAAGGGGCTTTAGGTCTCTGACAGGCAGGACAGTGGGGGTCTTGAGGACAAAGAGTTTTAAAGGCTCCCAGGCTGAGGTATTCAGGGTCTGCAAGGTTAAGGAAATTTGGTCTCTCTGCAGGTGCTATTTTGAGGATGCTGCAGGCTGAGGGGAACTGGGGTTACTCTAGGTATTTGAGAGTTGCAGCACTAGGGGATTCAGTGTTTCTGCCAGTGAAGGGACTTGTAGTCCCTGAAGCTGACCAGTTACAAGCTCTCTTCTGGTTAGGACCCAGGTTCCCCAAAGCTGATGGGATTTGGGGCCTCTCACCCTGAAATTAGAAGCCGTCACTCTGAAGATTTAGGAGGGTTGTGCACGGTGTGTTCCAACCAGTCTCTCTGCTGTCCTGCGGCGCTTCCGACTCCCGCTCAGCACTAGTCCTCCCGCGCTGAGGCAGAGCGTATGGGAATCAGCCGTCTTGTAAGGTGCCAGGCACAAGAGACCAATCGGTGTTGTGAGCGAGGCAGTCTGGCCAATAGGCACCGGGAGGGTGCGGCGAGCGAAGGGGACCCCACCCAAAAGCTGAGGAATGGCTGCCCTTGGGGCGTGTCTAGTAAGAAGCATCCAGTGCGCAGGCGCATCTTGGCCAATTTCTTTCCTTGTTTTCAGGCATGGCCTCTTAGGACTGGATCCTCAAGTGGGCAGCTTGTCCTCAGGCTGGATGTTTCCTTCTGGTGCCCTCAACTGGAATCTCAGCTCCACCAGACTGTAGTCATCCTCCCGGATTTTCTCCTAGGTCCACTTGTGCCGTACCTGGTCAAATCTAGTTTGGGGAAGAATTCTATGTGGTGCTGCTGCTGCTGCTAAGTCACTTCAGTCGTGTCTGACTCTGTGCGACCCCATAGATGGCAGCCCACCAAACTCTCCCGTCCCTGGAATTCTCCAGGCAAGAACGCTGGAGTGGGTTGCCATGTCCTTCTCCAATGCAGGAAAGTGAAAAGTGAGAGTGAAGTCGCTCAGTCGTGTCCGACTCTTCGCGACCCCATGGACGGCAGCCTACCAGGCTTCTCCATCCATGGGATTTTCCAGACAAGAGTAATGGAGTGGGGTGCCATTGCCTTCTCCTCTATGTGGTGAGTACTGCATTGTTCAGGGGAAAACTGTGTAATTAACTAAATTCTGATGAGACACAAGATAAACAACATATGGTCAAAGATTTAAATGCGACACATGGAATAAGTATGTTAGAAAAAACTTGGAGGATTTTTAATCTCAAAGTAGAAGTGGCACTGATGAGTAGTCTGTATGTTTAATGTAGGTATCAAAAGCCTTCAGAAATAAGGTATAAATAACAACTCAAACCCTTGCAAGTGTTTTCTGTAAAACGAGGCATTGAAGTGGAGGACAGTGGATCCACAGAGATGAATTTGCTTGACACCTACTGGTTTCTCAAGATAAAATAGGGACACTGTTTCTGGCCCTTAGCTATATTGCTCACAGAAAAAATAAGGTGATTTCCATGTATTGGAAGCAAGAAGACTGACTGTAGAATTAGTATCAAGTGGTGGTTGGGAGTCTGGATGGAGAAATGTTACCAGAAAAGTGAGTTTACCTCTTGGTGGTGTTCAGCCAGAAGATACAATCCAGCCAAAGCTCATGGGAAGGAAAAGTGTATTACTTGCAGGACCATGGAGAACACCATGCAGCTTTCCAGAGCAGTGTCTCTCTAAACCGCAAAGGTGGGGAAGCTTTAATCTATGGGAACAGGTATGTTCAGGCTTCCATGGTAGCTCAGATGGTAAACAATCCACCCACAGCAGAAGACCCGGGTTCAATCCCTAGGTGGGGAAGATCCCCAGAGGAGGGCATGACAGTGCACTCCAGTATTCTTGCCTGGAGAATCCCATGGACAGAGGGGCCTGGTGGTCCATGGCATTGTAAAGAGTCAGACACGAGTGAGTGACTAACACTTTACTTTTACAGGCATGTTCATTAGGGGTCTTGGGCTGTGGGAGACTCCAAGCTTCAGTTGATTGAAGTCTTGAGAGAATTAGTCACCATCAGCATCCCTTACATTCCAGCTGGTCTGGTATGCGTGTGTGTGTGTATATATACACACACATATATGTGTATATATTCTTCTTCATATTCTTTCCCCTTATCAGTTCAGTTCAGTCGCTCAGTCGTGTGCGACTTTTTGTGATCCCAAGGACTGCAGTATGCCAGGCTTCCATCACTAACTGCCAGAACTTGCTCAACTCATGTCCATAGAGACGGTGATGCAATCCAACCATCTCATATTTTGTCATCCCCTTCTCCTCCCACCTTCAGTCTTTCCCAGCATTGGGGTCTTTGCTAGTAATTCAGTTTTTTGCATCAGCTGGCCAAAGTATTGGAGCTTCAGCTTCAGCATCAGTCCTTCCAATGAATCTTCAGGACTGATTTCCTTTAAGATGGACTGGTTGGATCTACTTGCAGTCCAAGGGACTCTCAAGAGTCTTCTCCAACACCACAGAGTAAAGGCATCAATTCTTCGGCACTCAGCTTTCTTTGTAGTCCAACTCTCACTTCCATATGTGACTACTGGAAAAAACACAGCTTTGACTAGATGGAACTTTGTCGGCAAGGTAATGTCTCTGCTTTTTAATATGCTGTCTAGGTTGGTTAGAGCTTTTCTTCCAAGGAGCGACGGTTTTTGAATTTCATGGCTGCAGTCACCATTTCCAGGGAATTTTGGAGCCCAAGAAAATAAAGTCTCTCACTGTTTCCATTGTTTCCCCATCTATTTGCCATGAAGTGGTGGAAACGAATGCCACAATCTTTGTTTTCTGAATGTTGAGTTTTAACTCAGCTTTTTAACTCTCCTCTTTCACTTTAATCAAGAGGCTCTTTCATTCTGCTTCACTTTCTGTCATAAGGGTGATGTCATCTGCATATCGGAGGTTATTGATATTTCTCTTGGTAATCTTGATTCCAGCTATTCTTCATCCAGTCTGGCATTTTGCATGATGTACTCTGCACATAAGTAAACATGGTGACAATATACAGCCTTGACATATGCTTTTCTTAATTTAGAACCAGTCCGTCGTTCCATTTCTGGTTCTACCTGTTGTTTCTTGACCTTCATACAGATTTTTCAGGAGGCAGGTAAGGTGGTATGGTATTCCCATATTTTGGGAATTTTCCAACAGTTTATTGTAATCCACACAGTCAAAGGCTTTGGCATAGTCAATAAATAAGAAGTAAATGTTTTTCTGGACTCTCTTACTTTTTCTATGATCCAATTGGATGTTGGCAATTTGATCTAAGGTCCTCTCCCTTTTCTAAATCCAGCTTGAACATCTGGAAGTTCTTGGTTCACGTATGTTGAAACCTCACATGGAGAATTTTGAGCATTACTTTGCTAACATGTTAGATGAGTGCAATTGTGCAATAGTTTGAACATTCTTTGGCAGTTCCTTTCTTTGGGAATGGAATGAAAACTGACCTTTTCCAGTCCTGTGGCCACTGCCGAGGTTTCCAAATTTGCTGGCATACTGAGTGCAGCACTTTAACAGCATTATTTTTAGGACTTGAAATAGCTCAGTTGGAATTCCATCACCTCCACTAGCTCTGTTTGTAGTGATGCTTCCTAAGGACCATTTCACATCGCATTCCCAAATGTCTGGCTCTAGGAGTCTAATAACACCATTGTGGTTATCTGGGTCATTAAGATCTCTTTTGTATAGTTCTTCTGTGTATTTTTGCCACCTCTTCTTAATATCTACTGCTTCAGAAATGGCCCATAGCATTTCTTTACTGTGCCCATCTTCGCATGATATGTTCCCTTGGTATCTCTAATTTTCTTAAACAGATCTCTAGTCTTTCCCATTTTGGTTTTTTCCACTATCTTTTTACATTGTTCAACTAAAAGGTTTTTCTTATATCTCCTTGCTATTGTTTAGAACTCTGCATTTACATGGGTATATCTTTCCTTTTCTCCTTTGCCTTTATCTTCTCTTCTTTTCTCAGCTATTTGTGAGGCCTCCTCAGACAATACTTTTGCCTTTGTGCATTTCATTTTGGTAGATGGTTTTGACCATGGCCTCCTGTACAATGTTAGGAACCTCTGCCCACAGTTCTTCAAGCACTCTGTTTACCAGATCTAGTCCCTTGAATCTATTTGTCCCTTCCACTGTATAATCATAAGGGATTTGATTTAGTTCATACCTGAATGGCCTAGGGTTTTTCCTTACTTTCTTCAATTGAAGTCTGAATTTTGCAATAAAGGTGTCATGATATGAGCCACAGTGAGCTCGTGGTCTTGGTTTTGCTGACTCTATAGACCTTCTCCTTCTTTGGCTGCAAAGAACATTATCAGTCTGATTTTGGTATTGACCATCTTGTGATGTCCACGTGCAGAGTCTTCTCTTGGGTCGTTGGAAGATGGTGTTTG